TATGAATTGTATATCAAACAAGCAAATGAAGTTTGTATTAGTTTTTCCATGAGTGTTTGTCCTTTCCTCTGTTAGGCAGATAGTGGGAGGGGCAGAGCATGTCAGTCCACTCAGAAGTGAGCAGGGGTGGCTGGGAGGTGGGTTTGCTAGATGCAATCTGCCTTTCTTCTCCTATAGCTGGGGCAGGGAGGGGCACTGCAGTCATGTGTTTGTTTTACTCTAGTGGGACTTTTTCCCTCAGTACCAGGAGATTACAGGAGACGCCGTGCAGCCTCTGTGCAGCCTCTCCTGCTGCCCAGGTCCATAGCACTAATCCTGCAAGCCTGTGCAGCTGTCCAAAGCTCCATCAGATTCCCCTTTACCTATGGGACTCCTTCTATTTATTCCAAACCGAAGCAAAAGTTTTCATTAAATAAAATGACTGCTCATCTTCACTCACCCTGGAAGGCCTCTTTCCTGACTGTACTTTTAGTTCAATTATTTCTCTTTACTTTCCCAGAACTTTGATGTCTTTAATTTTTAATTTAATTTGTTTTTTTGTGATTTATCTATTTTGGTTTTTTTTGAGAAGTTGCCATGAGACACTGCCTACTAAATTGTATACTGAAAAGAAAGTCCACTGGCTACCCTAAGTTTTAATAATTGATTTAAAAATAAACATTTCAAGATAAGTCAATTCATATTTTGATGATGGCTTGTAATTGCTACCTAATTCCTCTGCTTTATAATTGTTCTTGTAAACTTAAAAACAAGGCATATCTGTTCTCTTTCTGGAATATAGCACTATGTTTTTTATTAGGCTAACATACATTGATTATATTAATTTAAAACCTTTGGGAAATCTGAGTTCCTAAAATCAGAACTTTGGTTGTCACTTTTACTTAGGAAAAGATGTACAGCTCAACTGCTCTGCTTTGCTGAATGAGAAGGATTTGATTTATTGGAACTTCTGGAAAGGAAATGGAACAGATCCTAATGTACATGAAGAGAAAGGAGTGAAAATTAGGTATGGCTATGTGATATATGACATAAAAATCATATTGTATATATGATATAAAAATGCTGAAGTCCTCAGTGGCTGATGTGATATTTTGGGTGGTTTAAATTATAATTATAACTTACATAATTTATGATCGTAATTGTCGTACCCTAGGTTGATGGATTATGCAGAAATTTGTTGCCAAGATCTAGCCAGAAAAAGATTTGTGACAAGATCAACAGGGGGGTTTAGTGTCACCATATAAAAGCAGCTTTTCATCAGTCAGGATCTGTTGGGGATGGGATTTTACATAGCTTTTTTTTTTTTTTTTGTCTTTTGTCTTTTTCCGTGTCCGGCAACGGATCGCAACCCT